GAATGAATGAAATGAAATGAAATGAAATGAAATGAAATGAATGAATGAATGAATGAATAGCGAGCCTACTTTTCGACTCTCCGGAGCCACTTTCCTACCTTTTCGCGCACCTGCATCTTCTTTCTTCTGACTCTTTCTATTCTCTGATCTTCTTTCTTCCTTCTGCTTCTCTTCTCTTCTCTTCCCTTCTCTTTTCTTCTCTGACTCTTCCCACCTCTGCTTTTCCATCTGTCCATATTGTCGGAAGTTCGACTGCTAAACTTCCTTCGGCGATTAATCATTGAAATGTTGCTATTGACAACAAACATGCAACCATACCAATAACAATAGGCACAGCACAACAATAGTAGACATGAAGAATAGTAATGACATTAAGACATATGTATATATATGTTTACACATACATGTACATATGCATATATATATATACATATACACACACATATAAATATATATAGAGTGATCATTTTACATGTATACACAAATAATCACGTAGGCAATTGGGGTTTCAATCCGGTTGCTCGCTCTTGCCGACTGAAAACGGGATCATGCCAGAACTGGTCGGGCCGCCCAAGGTAAATGCACCATTTTCAGGTACCAAACCCGTCTCGTATGGTTGACCATTTTCCAAAATCATATTATTGGCTTTGCATTTCATTAGATCCCCATTATACGAGTAAATTCCCGTGTCAGAAACTATCGAGCCAAATCAGCATCACAGAGCAGCGTCCGGAATCAACATCCAAAGCGGGAGGTCAGAACCTCGGGTTTCCCAGGGTTTCTTTAGTCATCATCGTCATCATCATCGTCATCGTTATCGTCATCGTGATTGTCATCCTCATCGTCATCGTCATTGTCATCGTCAATGTCATTATTAATCGTCTCCATTGCATCCTTTTTTTAATTTGTTTCGTCTCAGTTTATCGTTAGAGATCATTGTGTTTGGTGGTTACCCCCCATCATGTCTAAATCTTCCAAGGGGCACGGACGCTCCCCTGGCGCAGGATGCGGCTGACCCTAGAGTTGCTACAACAAGCGCCCCAGTCCTTGAACCCGGCCAAGCATCGGCAGCTACTTCTGCGTGGCTTCAAGTGCCTTTGGCGGCTGTGCCAAGTGAGTTTTCGTTTTATGCTTTGTTATTTTTGTTCCAAAACTGTCCGAAAAAATAAACGGGAAACGATATAAATGCGGTGATTTTTCTCGCGATATTTGTGGTTATTGTTTAGTACTATGATTGAAGGAAGTTTAGAAGTCAAACTTCCGACAGTATGGACAGATGAAAAGCAGAGATGGGAAGAGTCAGAGAGGATAGAAGAGAGAAGAGAAGAGAAGAGAAGAGAAGAGAGAAGAGAAGAGAAGAGAAGAGAAGAGAGAAGAGA